GTACATTCAATAACTGAGAGAAGTAGTTCCTCCACCTATTCAAAATGTTGTGGGAATCTGCAAGCAGATCACCATTCTCATCCTTCACTAAGTTACTGCTAGGCTGGTAACCCCTCTTAAAGTCATTTATTCCTCTATACAGGTCTCTAATATTATTGTTCTTACTGTTCATTGCAAGCTCATCAATTTTGTCTTTCAGATATTCCCTCTTTTTGTTCCTGATATGCCTGCGGGTTTCATGTCTTATATTGTTCAGATTATCCCCATTTAACTTGCTTGGATCCTCTTATGCTTATGCTTCTTCGGTTCATAATAACGTAGACTCTCTTTGACAGACATTTTTATATTCTCTCAATCAAAATATGGTCTATTTGATTGTGTATCTTCCCATCAGGAGATGTCCAAGTAAATTTATGGATGTTACAGTGTGGGAACATTGTACTTTTGACAGTAAGATTTTTTGATGTGGCAAAGTTTATGAGGGGCGTTCAAGTTCTAACGTCTCTGATTCTTTTTCTCAGGACTGGGAGCAGATAGACACATGCAGTTTAGTTTAAAATACGTGTGCACTCTTTGTGAATGCGTGACACTGATGACAGCACTGTACAGCACACAGAACTCTAGTGGTGGCGGCGAGTGTGAGGAGTGTTTTTGATACTTAAAATGGCGACATTTTCGTTACAAGAACAGTGAGTAATCATTCGTTTTCTCCACTTGCATGGCGCGACACCCATTGAAATTCATCGCCAGTTGAGTGAGATGTGGTGATGGTGTCATGAATGTGAAAAATGTGCGTTCATGGGTGTGACAGTTCAAAGAAGGCCGAACGTCATGTGACAACGAACCAGAACAATCCCGGCCTTGCACCAACTGGTCTGACAACATGGTCGAGCGAGTTGAGAAAGTTGTTTTGGAGGATCACCGATTGAGTGTGGAAAACATCATCTCCAAATCTGGCATTTCCATGGGATCTGTGCACACAGTCCTGCATGAAGACCTGCGAATGTGGAAAGTGTCCTCCAGGTGGGTGCCACGATTACTGGCAGACGACCACAAGGCTGTGTGCATGGCAATTTGCCAGGCGATGTTGACACATGATGAAGGCATGAATGGGACTCTGTTTTCATCAATTGTGACAAGGGATGAGACATGGATGCCATTTTTCAGTCAGCTTAATGGAAGCACACAGACTCACCGCCACCAAAAAAATTTTGGGTAAGTGCCAGTGCTGAAAAAAATGATGATGGCCATGTTTTGTGACAGCGATGGCGTAATCCTTACTCATTGCGTTCCAAAGGGCACTATGGTGACAGGTGCATCGTACCAAGATGTTTTGAAGAACAAGCTCCTTCCAACACTGCGAGAAAAATGGCCAGAAAAGGCTGCACATGTGCTCTTTCACCAGGACAATGCACCAGCACATTGGGCATACGCGACGCAGCAGTTTCTTCGTGAAAACACCCTTGAAGTGGTTTCTCATGCTCCCTACTCACCTGACCTGGCTCCTAGCGATTTTTGGCTTTTCCCAACGATGAAAGACACTCTGCATGGTTGCACATTCACCAGTCGTGCCGCTATAGCATCAGCAATTTTCCAGTGGGCAAAACAGGCTCCTACAGAAGCGTTTATAGCGGCCATGGAATCATGGCGTCGACGTTGTGAAAATTGTGTATGGCTGCAGGAAGATTATGTTGAAAAGTGACAGAAGTTTCAAATTTTTTATATGATTATTTTGTCAGAAAAAAATCGGAGACCTTAGAACTTGAATGCACAACGTACTACTATAACTCCACTATCATTACTAATATCATGCCAACTCTCATTCCCAATCGTTGGTTTGAAAATGTCTTCCCTCCCTACTATGGCATTGAAATCTCCTAACAAAATGTTCATAGGGTACTTCAGGAATTTATCAAATACATGTTCTAGTTCTTCATAGAATCTGTCCTTTATGTCATCAATTTTATCTTCTGTTGGGGTGTGAACATTCATAACAATGATATCACACCAGCGACCTTTTATTCATATTAATCTGAAATTGATGACCAAATCACATTTGATTTAGTATGTTAAAATATATCTACTGTATTTTCATACCAGAGAGAGACAGCCATTTCAAGTATCCATACTTGCTCTCAGCAGTTCATTGAAGTATGAGTGTTGTCCAGAAATTTGAAATGAAAATAAGCCTGACTTTTCTCTTCTTACAAACTGTATTTTTTTAAGCTTTTATGAAGCTTTTTGTGGACTGCCGAGTCACTTCATAGCCCATTGAACGAGTATGTATTTTTAGTGAATAGTAGAAGTACAGGAAAACTGCTAAGAGAAGTTACTTTTCATGCACACAATGCAGAAACTTTCATGAGTAAACACTCATTTTGACGTGGTGCATAGAAGAAAGTTACCATATTGTGTGGACTATAAAACGCATGTTTATTCCTATGACATACCTAGTTTTTGACCTGTTCTAATTCTGGCCATTTTGCAGTAAGACTTTGATAGCAACATTTGCTGATGTTTGCTTTCTTTGATTGTTATTGTATAACTTTCTAATTTGGGGGGGGGACTGCATTGTTTTTGGCTGCTCTTTTTCCATATTCATTACTGCAGTTTGACACTTGCTGTTTGTACACAGCAATGTATGAAAACATCTTCTACCTTGAACACATTGTTTTAAAAACCTAAATTAAAACTGCCTACTTACAGTATAGCACTCATGAAATGTCAGTGCTCTTGATTCTAATTTACAGTGCGTAGCTGTATATATATTTTGTGTGTGTGTGTGTGTGTGTGTGTGTGAGAGAGAGAGAGATTGTTGGAATAAATGTGTCTGCAGTAATCCTACATCTCAAGTTCTGTTTAGTGTCCATGTCTCAGGAGTTTTTTTTTAATCGGTCCCAGGGGCCAGGATTGAATCCAGAACACCATTAGTAAAACTGTTTGTGAAACAGCAAGCCAACCAAGTTGTGTGATATTCCCTGATGCCACTAACATTAGAAGTAAATGCAGTAAATAAAGGATCTCAGTAAGTCAACAGCACATGAAGGTGAGAGTAGAGTGAGCATTCAAAATGCCATGTAAAAGCATAGAGGTATACGTAGACAATGGAGCAGACACTGTGAAAGTTCATAACAGAATCTGTAATAATCCTCTTGTATATACTGATATTACAGATTAATGCTTCAAGTTGAAACTGCACTGCAGTCGATCCTCGCCCTGGGATTTACTGAAAAGGATGTGGATGAGATGAAGGGTATTTTTGCTGAGACAAATCTGTATCTTTTGTGCGTCACTGTCTCTGTTGCAGCCCTGCATGTGAGTAGTGGTTAACAGTTGAAGTTGGTATATTTTTAGAAATGCTTTGACCTAATGGGGTGCTTCAAAATTTATACTTGTCCCCAAATATTATTTGGATGATCAAATGAAGGAGAATGAAATTGGAAGGACATACAGCATGAATGATAAATATGAGATGCACATAGAATTTTAGCAGAAAACCGGAAAGCAGGATACCATTTGCAAGACCTAGAAGTAGACAGGATGGTAATGTTACAGTGAAGTTTAAGAAAGTAGGCAGTTGGGTGTGAACAGGTTTAATCTGGTTCAGCTCCTATGAACATGGCAGAAACCTACAGGTTCCATGAAAGGCAGAAAATGTCTTGAATAGCTAAGCAACTATTTACTTATCAAGAAGAACTCTGTTTCTGAGAGTGAGTGAGTTAATTGCTCAGTTAGCTTTGACATAACAATAAACCTGCAGTTATTCACTGTATTGAAAAAACAAAACTTTAATTCAGTTTTACATACCATCTAGATGGGAAGTGTAGGTATCTGTAACAGATTAGTCAATAAAACAAAGTTTATATGTTGTTGACAATGCCTGCAAGATTAGTTTTGCAATTAAGGTCTCAAGCAAGAGCAGTATGGTGTCATATATGAACTGATGGTCCACAAAATGTTATAGATTAATGAAACTGGACTAATAGAATATACCTGCTCAAATTGTAACACTTCTGACTCAGGTTTCTAAAGTCTTCCTTTGTCCCTCCAAGCAGATACCATGATATTGCCTCAAATTAGGCCATGACCACTTCCTTCCACAACCTTTCCACGTTATTTTTCACTAGTCATCTTACCAGTCAGCACTGTGTAGTGTGATCTACTGCAATTGTAATGAAATATTCCATAAAATGAAGAAATAAGAATGGGCACAATCTGTGCTGTTCTTTTTACTGACTAGTACAATTTTTAGAGATCCTGTTTGAATTTAAAATATCATTTTGTCATGTGAGTGGGGGTCTTTCATTTCAACATGCATGGGAACATGCATTGGTAACATAAGATGCTGTTGCTCTTTGGGTGTCTTATTCATGATAAATATACATTTGCAGCTCTTGTTTGATTTCCTGGCCTTCAAGAATGATGTCAGCTTCTGGCGTCGCAGGCGGAACTTGGTGGGTCTGTCCAGCCGGACAGTAGTGTGGAGAGCTTTTAGTCATGCTGTTGTGTTTCTGTACCTGATGGATGAGGAGACATCACTATTAGTTCTTGTGCCTACTGGCATTGCCACTGTGATAGAGGTGAGCAAGAAGCAGAAGGGCGATGTCCAGATGGTTGGTGACTGAATGTTTTTTGTAAGGCTCATAGTTATTGATGTATTCTAGTAAGATAAATTTATTGAAGTTAGAAGATTTGAATGTTGTATGTGATTTTTTGTAGGATAGGGAATTGTAGGGTCTGAAGCAATAGTGAACAGTAATTAGAACATTCAAATAAGTCCTGTGCCTATCTATAATTGATATGGGGAAACCTGTATTTAAGGTTTATTTTGGGAGCAGTGGTTTTGAAGACAGCTGAGGAAATCTTAAATGGAGGTATTTTAACATTGAGGTTATTGACTTGAATTCACTGAAATTGAACACTAAGAGAGAGAAGACTTTCAATTGAGGAACATAAAATGGGGGTTCCACCATATTTGGTGCTAACATAAGCTAGTTTCACCAGCAGAAGTAAATACGAGGTGTACTGGAAAGTTTCCGGACTAGGACAAAAAAAAAAGAAAATTAACTCAGTTTTTGCTGCTATCTCCTTCAAAATAGTCTCCCTGAGAACACATACAGAGATCCCATCATTTTTTCCACACTTTGAAAGCACCGTGGAAGCCATTTTCCTTAATGCTGTGCAGCACTGGTTGCAATTCCCTTTGGATGTCAGACACTGTTTCAAACCGTCGTCCCTTCAATTTCATTTTCAATTTGGGAAACAAAGTGAAATCACAGGGGCTAAGTCTGGCGAGTAGGAAGGATGGTGAAAGATAACCATGTTGCTAGACACAAACTGTGGTTTTCAGGGACAGGTGGGTGGGCGTGTTGTGATGAAGGAGCAATGTGGCGCATGTTCAGATTTTGCATTAAGATCTCCTGGCAAACTCCATAACTGATCCCAAGGGGGTCTGCAAGCATATGGATTGTTCAGCGACCGTCTTCATGGACAAGTTGTAAAATTTTGTCAACGTTTTCTATTTTGCTGGTGCTTTTGTCACCCTGAATGTTTGTCATCTTCAAGTGACGCTTGACTGGCCTTGAAAAACGTGAATGTCATGCAAGAACTCCTGCCCAGCGTAAAGAATGTTCTCTAAAAGTCTCATGAAGCATTTCAAAACTTGATGCAGACTCTTTGCTCTATTTTCCATGCATCTCCGATAAAATGAAACACGAAGTGGAAAAACACTTGTGTAAAAATAGTGGGTGTTCACAGTGCAGTATCACATGGCAGACTGATGCAGTAGGCTTGCAGAAGTGTGACCTTGGCCTCCGTTCTCATCTTCTTTCACCAAGGCAGTTACAATAACAGTCTGGGAACTTTCTGATAGCACCCCGTAATTTGATGAGTATAACTTGAAGAAACTGGTAAAACTAAATTAAGGTAAGGCAAGAAGGTCAGTGATATTTTTTCCTAATTTATAAAAATGTGCAAGTCTTGAATTTATGAGATTGAAACAAAAAGAAAAAGTAAATTCTCATTTTGAACATTAATTTTTCATTTTCAAACTTGAGATTTTTGGATATAACTGCCTTTGCTTTGGACATTGGAGTTATGTCAGAAGTATTTGCCTAAATGGAAGTTGAACTTATTTCTCTTTTTAAGGGGACATGTCTATGGGTCATCATCATGAGTTTGAGTGCTGTATATAAATAAAATATGTTTTATTCCATTTTAACCATTTAGTATGTACAATTTGCACAGTGGATAACTAGTTCGCACTTCTGTGCTCTCACAGTAGTAAGTAAGAAACAGAGAGAGAGAAATACGTGGTGCAATCCGAAAGTTCCCAAAATATATTAATAAAAACTATTATGTCTTACCTGCATCTTATTCTGCACCATCACCTTCAAAGTAGTCCCCTTGGGAGCGCATACACCGATCCCAGCGTTTCTGCCACTTTTCAAATGCATCCTGGAAGTCTTTCTTTGTTAGGGTGCTTAGTACCGTCTACTTTTCCACTTGAATTTCCTCAACTGTATCAAATCTTCGCCCCTTCAACTTGATTTTCATCTTGGGGAAGAGAGAGAAGTCTCACAGAGCTAAGTCTGGCGAGTATGGTGGGTGGGGAAAAACTACCATCTTGTTTTCAGCCAAAAATTCTTGCACAATGTAAGCCGTATGTGGTCATGCGTTGTCATGGTGGAGTACCCAGTCGTTCATGCACCACTTCTCTGGACGTTTTCTCCTCATGTCCTCCCTCAAATGCCTTAGAACATCGCGATAGAACTCTTTATTGACTGTGTGACCAGGAGGGATGAACTCTTTATGAACAATCCCATCAGTATCGAAAAACAGATCAAAATGTACTTAATGTTGCTCTTGACTTGTCGAGCTTTTTTTGGCTGAGGTGAAGAAGGGCTCTTCCATTGCAGTGATTGCTGCTTGAGTATGAGGGATGAGCCACAAAACTGGCTCTAGCACTGCGACCTTCAATGGTCTGTTGTGCTTCCCCTTTGGATTAACTCTTTATTAATCCTACACTTTAAATGAAATGTAGGACTTTGTTTATGGGGCATCATAAAAGTCACTTGGTTCCATGAAGAATTGACCCAGTTGGCGATATCTTAAATAAGCTGTAGCCTCACAATCACATAAGATGTGTGTGGCTGATTCATCTTCTCGTAAGCACCTCTCACAGGTTGGCTCCTCTGTCAGTCCCAGTTTGGAAAGGTGTCCTTTCAGGTGGCAGTGTCCAGTAAGTAATCCTACCACCCATCTGAGTTGATCTCTGTTCAACCTTTAACGTCTGAATGTCACATATATATGTCACGAGCAGCAACCGGAGTTGGCCGAATAACACGTATATGTGACTATATATGACGCAGGACACATGCACTCTTTGGGAGTGCTAACAGTTTGACCTTGGGTTTGAAACCAAAACAGACCTTTGTGAGGTCATGACAGTGTTCATTCCTTAGCTCTGAACAA